CGCCTCAACACCGCCGAGCGGTACGAGCCCCAGCCCACCCCCCGGATGCTCACCCCCCCCCCCCCCCCCCCACCTCCAGCTGTTCCCCATCCCCCCCCCCGCGGCCTTGCCCATGCCGTGCCCGGTGGTACCTTGCCGTGGAGGGTGGTAGCGCTGGCGTCGCTCCGCTGTTCGTGCATGGGGGCGATGAGCGTCCACTGGTTAGTCTCGGGCTCGTACCGCTCGGCGGTGTTGAGGCGGACGTAGCCATCGAAGCCGCCCATGGCGTAGATGAAGCTGTCGAGCACCGTGACACTGACATAGCAGCGGCGGGAATGCATGGGGGCCACCTGCTGCCACGTCTTTTTAACCGGGTCGAAGCGCTTGACGCTGTTGAAATAGTCGACGCTGTCGAAGCCGCCGATGATGTAGACGAAGCCGTTCAGGTAGGCGGCTCCGTGATATGCCCGGGGGCTCTCCTCCTCACACGTTACATTGACCCAGCGGTCCGCCCGGGCATCGTAAGCCTCGATAGCGTTCGTGGGACTGCCCCCGCTCCAGCCGCCGATCGCAAACAGGATGGAGTACGGCAGCCGGGGTCTGGTCAGCGGGTTACGGAAATCCGAGTTGGACGGTCCGTTCATGTTCAGGTCGTACATGGCCTTTAGCGCGTTAATGATGATGGGCTTACAGTCATCGTTATCCTTCACATAATCATTGTTCTTCACGTTATTCATGAAATATTCGGCGTTCATCAGAGCCAGTCTGACCTGCCAGGGAGGGACGGGTGGTCAGAAATGATCAGAACCGCGACCGTTCACCCTTCTCAACCCTCCGCACCCCTTGCAGCACAGCCCTTTTGGTCATGAACGGCGCCACACAAATGCACGCAAACAGAAATTGCTGGACAAACTTCAGCAGGTCTGGCAGCCCCGCTCCCAGACCTGCTGTGTTGCCTTCCGCAATTTCTGCTTTATTTTCCTAATTTCCCGCAGCGTCTGCGGGAAGAGAAACACAGTTAACGTTTCGGGGAAGTTCAAAGGAGATGTAAGGGGTAAGTGATTTTTGGGAGGAGTGTGGAACACTCTGTGGTGATGCAGGCAGACACGTTAAGGGTGTTTAAGCGGCTTTGAGATAAGCACATGAATACGCAAGGAATGGAGAGTCATGGATCAAGGGCAGGCAAAAGGCAATTAGTTTCATTTGGCATCATGTTCAGCACAACATTGTGGGCTGAAGGGCCCGTTCCTGTGCTGCACTGTTCTATGTTCTATGAGTCTGATGACCCTTCTTCAGAACTGAGCGGACTGCTCTTTAAGCTCAAAACATTAACTGTTTTTTATTCATTCACAGGATCGTAGGTGATGGCCTAGTGGTATTATCGCTGAACTGTTAATCTAAAGACCCAGATAATGTTCTGGGGACCTGAGTTCACATATCCACCATGGTAGATGGTGAAATTCGAAGTCAATAAAAAAAATCTGTAGTTAAGAATCTAATGGTGACCATTGTCAATTGTTGGGGAAAACCCATCTGGTTCGCTAATGCCCTTTAGGGAAGGAAACTGCCATCCTTGTGACTCCAGAACCACAGCAATGTGGTTAACTCTTAACTGCCCTCTGGGTACTTAGGGATGGGCAATAAATGCAGCCTGGCCAGCAATGCCCCAATCCCATGAATGAATAAAGGATGTGGGCTTTGTTGGCTAGGGTATCATTTGTTGCCCATGGGGCAGTTAAGAGGCAACACCATTGCTGTGGGCCTGGAGTCACATGTAGGCTACACTAGGTGAGGACAGCAAACTTCCTTCCCTGAAGGGCACTAGTGAACCAGATGGGTTTTTCCAACAATCAATGATGGTTTCATCAACTCTGTTTCTGTCTTCGTAGATGCTGCCAGACCTGCCAAGTTTTTCCAGCACTTTGTGTGTGTTTCAGCATCGGTGGTTCTTTTGTTTTTAGTGCCACATAAATGAACTGAGATGGCTCCCGGAGGCACACGTACCAGTCAGCCTGGACCAAAGCCTTTAATCTTGGGCTTTTTTGCTGATCCCACACCCCGGCCGGCGGAGGGGGAGTGGGCGATGTTAGTTTGAACCATGTAATAGACCTCATTGTCCCTGAACTGTTCCCAAAAAGGGGGGGCTAAAACCAGTTCCTGCTCATTTCTCAATGGTCCCTGTAGGAAAGTACATCTCAGGCCTGGCGGGGGCGCGGGGAGCGGGGGTGGGTGTGGGTGTGGTGGTGAGGGGGTTGAGATAACCTGCTCAGCTTCCCCCAAACATTTACCCATCCAGAGAATTGTGAGTCTTTGGAATTACCTTCTTCAAAAGGAAGTGGATGCAGAATTTTTTATTTTTTTAAGGTCAAGGTAGATAGATTCTTGATGACCAAGGGGATGAAAGATTATCAGGGATATGCATCAATGTAAAGTTGAGGTTAAAATCAGAACAACCATGATCTTATTGAACAGTGGAGTAGGCTCGAAGGGCCGAATGGCCTGCTCCTGTTCCTTGCCTATAGGCTCAGCCCTAAGGAATGACCATGTGTGGGGGATGGGTGCAGGGGTAGTGGAAACAAGCCTGGCACCATTGTGGAATGTGTGGGGGGTGACAATAAAATAAGCGGCAAGGCAGACTCAAGCTTAGGTCAGTTCATGTATGGGATGGAGATTTAAACAATAAATGTGAAATCACAGCTGTTGCTTGTGTTCACAGGAGTGGAATTGATGGGTTCCTGGAGAAGCTTACTGGAAATACAGTTAATGAGACTGGAACATCCTGGATAATGAGGGACAGTTACCACAAAGGCTCAATGGGAAAAGACCACACTCTCAGGTACTTCCACCAAAGAACACTGAGTAGTTGGAATCCTTGCATGAGCCAGCAGTCTGTGTGTAACAAGGAACATTTTACACAGAATCCATTGTGATATAACCTACAATTATAGCAGTAGTGCCTGAGGCAACTCACTGTCACAGACTGGACCAAAATAAAACTGAACTGTCTTGCACTTTTAAGTGATGTCAAAATTGACTGATGTTACTTCTGTAAAATTTTATCAGTAAAACATATGTTGAGAAAAATGTATGATAAGAAGATTCTTCTACCCATTTATCATCAATCTGCAGAGATTTAATTCAAAGACTTGGAGTCACAAAATGCTATGAAGTCGTCAATAGGCTCCAGCTCCAATAATCACCACTTAAGAATAGATTGCTCCCATTGGTGAATTCTTCATCCACTCAGCACCAGGTACTTCCTCATGAGGAAGACAGTAATATATCCCAGAAAGAGGACTCCTTTAACCTTCTCCAATGGGGAATGACTTGTACTGTGCCTTTATAAGGGAAGGCCAAGATAGCAAACATAAAATAACAATCTTTTGTTTTTAAACACCACAAAATCTTGAAGTTAAATGTTAATTTTGTGTTGTTTATTACCCATGTATTTCAGCCAAATGCTTTCCCATTTATTGCCAAGTTGATGGCAGCTTTCTGTAGTGGACCAGTGTTTACCCAATTGGTCCCATTATAAGGCTGATAGGACCAATGAAAGAGAACAGGGATACTCCCAGTTGTGATACGTCTCAAGCTCAGGTGTAGGGTGAAGGGACAACATGCTAATCCATAGTTCCCACCAGTCTCTCTTTAACAACAAAAATATTTAACTGATACAAATGAAAGATACATCTAGCTCCTAATGTACCTTGGGCAGCAGTATGACAATGCACTTTTTCCTGATGTCTGGGTCTTGGGCAATCCACTTGAGAATGGCATCAAATACTACATCTTCTTGTTTCACATTCAACTCATCCTTCTCAATGATGTCTCTGAGCTCAAAGGCTGACAGCTCTAGGAACTCCTCACTCACCTTCACTATCTCCTCAAAATGGTGCAGGATATACATGTAGGCTTTGTGTCGGAGCTCTGGGCAGAAGTAGTAGTCTGCAAATTTGCAGATCCCGATGCAGTTTTCAAGGCATAACTGAGATTCAAGGAATTCACAACAAGCTCTGACAATTCCCAGGACATTGAACTGGTCTGCAGCAGCCAGGAGTCTCTCAACATTTTCCACAGTGACTGGGACTGTCCGAGTATATGCATATTCTATGATGAGCTTCATCATGTCGGGGGATACCCCTGGAATGTTGTACACCTTCTTTTCTATGCTGTTCCAACCGCTAGTAAATAGAGCCCTGCACAGCAAAGGACACAGAAAGCTTAGGAAAATAAGAGCGCACTTCTACCTAACTATTCTATCTGTCTCATCTTGCACCTGCTCTCTAGTAATCCAACTGAGGGCACTTTGGCTAAGTACATTTGAAATAAAAAAAGGCTGAGATATAAACTTAATCCTACAAGATGATTTAATTCCAAAATAAACTTCAAATGTTGTACTCTGCTCAGGCATCATTTGTTTGCGATCCTTTCTTTTAATGAATAACTTCAGTTGTTATTCCATTTTCTCCCATTTTCTTGATGGTGCATAGTTTTATCAGCATCAACTGTTCTTTGTCACTACAACTGCATTACTGCATCTACAAGATGCACTGCAGTAACTCATCAAAACTCCTTGGATAAGTATCTTCTGAGTCTATGACCTCTCCTGCTGAAAAGGACAATGGCAGCAGATATGTGGGAACACCACCCCCTACAAGTTCCCCTCCACACCATCCTGACATGGAAACATATTGCTGTTCCTTTAGTATTTCTCAGTCAAAATCGTAGAACTCCCTCCCTAACAGTATTGTGGGTGTCCATACATCCCAAGGATTGCAGTGGTTCAGAAAGGCAGCTCATCACCAGGGCAAGGAAATTAAGATGGGCAATAAATATTGGCCCAGCTGAGAGTGTCATGTCACATGTATTAATAGAAAAGAACAAGTTGCATTTAGTGGTGTCCAAAAGCCCTTTAGAGGGCCATTGTCAAGTGTGTGGCACAATGGCTTAATGGTTAACACCGCTGCCTCACAGCACCAGGAACACAGGTTTGATTCCACCCCTGGGTAGTTGTCTGTGTGGGATGTGCAGTTTAGGTGGGTTGGTCATGCTAAATTGCCTATAGTGTCCAGAGATGATCAAGTTAGCTGCGGGAAAGGCAGGGTTAGGGAATAGGGAAGGGGGATGGGTTTGTATTCTTCAGAGGGTTGGTGCAGACTCAATGGGCCACATGGCCTGTTTCTGCACTGTAGGGATTCTATGATGATACAACATTGTTATGAAGACCCATGAAAATATTAAAGCTGGATCAATGAGGGAGGCCACAAATGCAGAAACAGGCTATTCAGCCCATTGAGTCTACTGTGTCCATTCAATGAGATCATGGCTGGTAATTTTTGAGGAAGATCATAAAGGAACAAAGAGAGGTTTTGACAGGGAATTCCAGAACATAGTACCTGGGCAGCTGAAGGCACGACCACTAATGGTAGTCTAAAGAAATTAAAACAAAATAAGGGGCAGCATCAATGGAGAGAAAGACAGAATTAATGTTTCAGATTTTGATTAAAGATCATGAACCTGAAATGTTAACTGGACATTTCCCTGCATATGTTGCCTGAGCTTCTGAACACTTTCAGAACGTTCTGTCTTTTATTTCAGATTTCCAACAGCTGCAGTGTTTTTGCAATTCTCTTCGCGGGTTGAAAGAAGACAGGGTGCGGGAGAGGCCAGAATGGGAGGAATGCAGACTACTCCGCTGGCTGTAGGGTGGCAATACCTTCTGGGGATAAGGGATGGCAAGGCCCGTTGGAAAGGTGTGAATAGAAAGATTCCAATTTCAAACCGAGTATGGGGCAGCGATTATTGGATACTGGGTAAATGCCGGGTTATCAATTGGCGCTGAGCGGGCTGCTGGCCAGGGATAGTCGATATTCTGGCGTAGTTTTGGAGGATATGGCCAGGGTAAAGAAATAGCGTGTCGCCAAGGATCGATGCTTTTCAGGATAAGAGAGGTGGCAGTGTAGCATCGAGTAGAAAACATAACAGGGAATTCTCTGGTTAAGACCAGCTAGCCGCAATGTTGCAGAGAGTTTTAGCGATATCCCACTCTCATTGGCTTAGGAAGGAATGCCATAGCGTGTCTGTGAAGGTTACAAAGTTATGTATTCCGATTAATACCCTGTCATAGAGCTCCCTCCTGCAATCGTGTTGCATTTAAAATATTGCACCTTACCCTGTGGATTAATTCTGAATTTCACTTTACATTTTGAATTTCACTTGACATTTTGGGGGTGAATTATTTTGCCAGCCTTTCTATCAGCGTGGTTCCCACAGGGACTAGAGCACACACGAGGTGGCCTGGGCTGAGGAAGGAGTCTCTTTGCTGCAGTTACTGACCGAAAGTAGGAGCTACAGCTGCATAGGATATTCTTGTGGGCGTTGAAGTCAATGCCGTTCACTCTGATGAGCACGTCGCAGAGTTTTCCCTCAAGTCGAAGCTCATTGAAGATGGTACATGCCATGGCGCTCATCTTCCTCTCCATGGTGCTCTGCCTTAGCTGCCGGGTCGAGGTTGAGGGCTCCTCCATAGTGAAACGTTCAAACTAGAAGCAACTACAGAACTTTTTTTTTCCCAGTGAGCTTGGTGGATGTGCTCAGTGTGTAATTGCGGTTGTCACGATTTGTGTTTTCAGCGGCGCCGCTCAGGGTTCCAGAACCCAGCCAATTGTAACATCACTAAGGGGAAGGTCCCCAGCAGATCTGGTGGACTTCCATTTGGTGACATGGACAATGCAAGGTCCTCGCCTCAGTTTAGTGAGAGGTCATTCAGCATCCACTGGGCCGCAGAGTCAGTGCTAGCACCCGCTTACATTCTCTGTCAGATCCCGCCGACTTACTCCCTGCTCCTGTCAACTCACATGATGGATTTGTGACTGCCTTTGGTTTGTATGTCACCTACTTATTGACTGTTCTCATAACGTAAAAATTGACGGTGTGCGTTTCAAAATGACATAACAAAAGACAGTACTGGTAAGTTTACGGGCTGTAGGTAACTTCAAATCGTCCAAAAACAAGGCACAGATCTGTTGTGTTCACCCAGCTCTACACCATGTTATCACGGATCTGTTCAGACCGGGAGTTCTCCCGTGATGAATATTCTATGCTATTCCCGGCATATTCCTGAAATTCTGTTCATTTCCCACCTTTATGGCGCAGGAGAAATGTTCCCAGGAAGAACCATCTTGTTTCTTTCTTTCTCTCACTCTCTCTACGGCTGCCGCCAGACCTACTGAGTGTCTCCAGCACTTTCTGTGCTTTTTCTGAAAGCGTGTAGTGCCTGTCCCTGGCGCTGGATTTTCCTGGGAGCGGATCTCCGGGAGCTGTAGTTTCAAGGGCCACCACTCTCCATATCCACCCGGTGCGCCTCCCTGTCTCACTGGAAGCATTTACAGATAGATATCCAAACTATAATGGACACAATAATGGACCCACCTTCTAAGATCTGGAGGTCCTGGAGGGACACACAGTTCCAGGGAGGCTTACTACCAGCTGTGCCATAGGCCCTGACCCTCAGGTTGTTGCCTCTGGTTTATTAACATTTACAAGTGGAATGAGATAAAAATAGACAACCCCAGCATAGATTAATCTGGTTAAGACCGTTAGGCATAGGAACAGAAGTCGGCCATTCAGCCCATCGAGTCTACTCCACTATTTAATGGGATCATGACTGATCCGATAATCCTCAACTCCACTTTCCTGCTTTTTCCTTATAACCCTTGATTCCCTTACTGTTTAAAAATCTTTCTATCTCAGCCTTGAATATCCTGAATGACCCAGCCTCGACACCCCTCTGTGGTAAAGAATTCCACAGATTCACTATGGTCAGAGAGAAGAAATACCTGCTCATCTCTGTCTTAAATGTGTGGTCCCTCATTCTGAGATGATGTCCTCTGATCCTGGACTCTCCCACAGGGAGAAACAACCTCTCCACATCTACCCTGTCACCTCGCCTAAGTTTCTTATGGACTTCAGTGAGATCTCCTCTCATTCTCCTAAATCCCAATGTGTACCAGCTCTACCTACTCAACCTCTCTTCATTAATTCATTTAAAGCCCTCTCTACTGCCTTTTGCATGAAATATAGTTTAAGTTGCCTAGTGACACGTTGGCCACCAGTTAACAGAAACAGAATGTTTAGATAATTTTTGTTTTGTTTATTAATGAAACCTAGTGTGGGTTTCAGAAACAAAAACAGAAAATGCCGGGAAAGCTCAGGAGGTCTGGTATCATCTGTGGAGAGAAATTAGAGTTAATGTTTTAGGTCCAGTGACCCTTCAGGACACACTGGATCTGAAATGTTAACTCTGGTTTCTCTCCACAGATGCTGTCAGACCTGCTGAGTTTTTCCAGCAATTTATGTTTTTGTTTGTGATTTCCAGCATCTGCTGTTCTTTTGGGTTTGTTTTTGCCTAGTGTAGGGTTCTTTTGTCACAATGAATATCAGATAAATTAACCGTCTTCATGATCCAAGTGGTCATTTATACATTTTCGATGTCTCACTGAATAGTGGGGCTTGATGTCCAGCAAGCTGTTCCCATCAGGATCGTGAGAAAGTTTCAGAGGTTTGGATGCAGGATCTTTGAACCAGTTTTGATGTGTAGGATTGGTAGCGCATCATGTTGGCTCAGTGGTTGGCACTGCTGCCTCACAGTGCCAGGGACCCAGGTTTGATTCCACCCTCAGGCAACTGTCTGTGTGGAGTTTACACATTCTCCCTGTGTCTGCGCGGGTTTCCTCTGTGTGCTCTGGTTTCCTTCCACAGTCCAAAGATATGCAGGTTAGGTGGATTGGCCATGCTAAATTTCCCATATTGTCAAGGGATAGATGGGTTAGCCCTGGGAAATGCAAGGTTATAGGGATAGAGTAGGGGTGTGGGTCTGTGTGGGATGCTCTTTGTAAAGTTGGTGTGGACTCGATGGGCTGAACAGTTTTTATAGGGATCCTGTGATTAATTCATCGAGGACAGAAACCAGGTTTCTTGCAATGTAAAATGAAGTGGCACTGAAACAGCTCAAACTGTCCTGCACATGAAGGAGGTATCGCTGACTGGTTTACAAGTCCTGACTAAAGCTAAGGCCAGAGAATTGGCAAAAGGAATAAAGGTGGAAATTCCTGCAAAAGTTAGGAAGCAGAGATAATTAACATATTAGCACAGCATTTGGGATTGGTGGAGATACAAGAGGGACTAGGTACACCAAGTGATGAGTCATGTGAGTAAATGAAATTTCAATTGCAGGTAAAGGAGTTTGAAATGGAAAGGGAAATGGATCTTAAAAGAATTGAACTTGAGGGAAAAAAATGACGTGTACTGTACTTGGATCCTCTGTAGGCATTTAATAAGGTCATTCATCAAAGGCAAAGGAAATGAAAACTTGTGGTTCGGGGTTAATACTGGTTTGGACAGAGGATTGGCTGGCCAACAGAAAATGGGGTCATTTTCCAGTTGGCAAGATGTAACAGTGTGGTGCCACAGCGATCAGTGCTGGGGACTCAACTTCCTACAATGTACCTTAATGACTTGGATTCAGGAACTGACATATGATTGATAAATATGTTGATGGCACAAAGATAGGGAGGCAAAGTTTGTTGTAAAGTTGTCCATTTTGGCCAGAAGAATAAAACAAAACAAAGTATCAAAATAGTGAAAGATTGCAGAGCTCTGAGATGCAGTGTGAGTTCTCGTTGTCCTAGTAACCTGAATCACAAAGGTTAGCATGCAGTTGCAGCAAGTAATTAGGAAAGCTAATACAATGGTAATGTTTAATGTGAGAGCAATTGAATACAAAAGTTGGGAGGTTATTTCTTCAATAATACATGGCATTGATGAGACAACATCTGCAGTACTGTGTACAGTACAGTACTAGGTTCCTTATTTGAAGATGGCTGCAAATGTGTTGGAAGCAGCTCCGAGAAGGTTTACCAGACTAATACCTAAATGGGTTGGTTGTCTTATGAAGAAGTGGTGGACAGGTAAGGCTGAAGAAGTTTAGAAGAATAAGCGGCAACTTGGTTGAAACATATTAGATCCCGAAGGGTTTTATAAGATGCATGTAAAAGCTATGATTCTTCTTGTAGGAAAATCCAGAACTCCTGGACACTGTTTGAAAATCAGGGGCCACCCATTTAAGACAGAGATGAAGAGAAATTTATTGTTACAGAGAATCATGAGTTTTTGAAACTTTCTTTCTCAAAATGTACTGGAAGCAGAGTCTGTAATATTTTTAAGTCAGAAGTGGATATTTTTGATAAAAAGTGGGTGGAAGGTTATTGGGGTTAGGCATTGTTAGAGTTAATTAGGCTGTAAGGGTTAACTATGGAAAAGTAAAAAGCAGGCTTCAATTAATAAACCATGTAATAGCTGAACCTTATGCATCCTTAAGGATAGTGTCAACAGTAATCTCTAAACAACAATCAGTGCTTTCAAAACATTCTAAAGAGGTCTTGGAGCTGGACGAGATTTAGAGCAGGGGACAGGGTGGGTGTTAAATGATTCTTGACTGTGGTGAAAGAGAAGCCATTAGCGACATTAGTATATGACTTAGAACAGACATTTGTTTCCTATAATTTTATGAAGAAAAATTGGAATAATGGATGATGCAATGTCCACGTGGCAAAAATTTACATAAAGATATTGCCTTTTCCTGTAGACTTGAGTTATACAGGTTAACCCTTGAATGCACTTTCCTTGCATACTCTACACTTAAATAAATAATCAAAACCCTGCAATCACAACATTGGGAATCTGGCAGCATCAGATCAGCCATGATCTTATTGAGTGGAGGAGCTTGAGGGCCGAGTGGCCTAGTCTTGCTTCTAAGTCATATGGGGGAGGGGGGATGCTAATGCCACTGGGGTAGTAATCACACACTCAGCTATATTGCCATGTGGACACAGGTTCAAACAGCAGCTGGTGGAAGTTAAATTCTCTAATCACAGTAATGTTGCGCATGAAACTCTCATCACTTGTCACAAAAACACATCTGCTCATTTATGAGATCTGTTTTCCTTACCTGGTCTGGCCTATATGTGACTCCAGACTTTCAGCATTGTGGCTGACTCTTAATTTCCCTCTGAAATGCCCACGTAAGCCCCTCAGTCCAGGGGTAATTAGAGATGGGCAGTAAATGCTGGCCCTTACCAGCAACAACCACGACCCGTGACAAAAATGCAAAGACATAAAATTCAGCATCTATTTTTTATGTAGATATGATATTCCTTGGGCAACCAAAAACTCTCCCACCCTCACCCCCAGGGATACTGAGATGTGATCATTCATGGCATTCAGAATTCCCTTTATCATCCCAAATTTGCGGCAACAAAAAGGAAACAACAAACAATGATACCTCCTGGATGTTATGAATTATTTCCATTGGACTCTACATGAAGGAGGTCTACATGGTGCATCATCCTATTTCCAATTTATTCCCAGCCTATGAGCGTCAGTGACAAGACCAGCAGTGACTGTGTGACCCTAGTTATCTTCAAGAAGGTGGTGGTGAGCAGTCTGATAGATTAGGTACACCCCCAGC